TTGAAACAATTCTTTCCAGTCAGCGCTACAGAATTGCTACTATGGAAACGTCCCCAATCCGTCATGCTTCCAAATTACCTGCTAAATGCCATGCATCCATCATTCGCACCACTCGGTAGCGCAAATCAGCGGATGTATTGAGCACCATTGCCCCATGCGTCCAAACTCTGATCCACTTGGGCAACGTTAACTGAACAATCAGAGAGTTTAATCGTCCCGCCAATCCAAGTTTAATCCTGCGAACAAGACGTGATTCATCAATGACGTCATGAAATTGAACTACCTCGTTAGAGTCACAATTCGCTTAATCAATTGTAAATTATCTTCTTCAATAGCAACTTCGACGTGTTTTTCATCCATTCCTTGAGGAGCTGCCAACCTGAGATTCCTTGCGGCGCCTCATTTGGGGCGGTGTTCACGTAACCCAAGGATTTACGGCGTCCTTGTGAGGGTGGATGTCGATCTTAAAACAACAAGGAAACAATAGAATCGTCGTTCCATAAAAGACGAAACATGGTTTACCCCGCTGCGGCTATTGTGTTCAAATTGACTGTGGGACCGACGACTGTGAGGAGAAAGATGATCATCCAAGGAGAGATGAAGCATGGATCATGAAATATGGATCACGTTGAGATGATCGATTAAATAATTTACCGTGAGACGCGTAGACTTCAGCAGTGACTGAATTAATGTCCCTCTCTGGCAATTGACAAACTTCTTTCGCTGCACTTTGATTCGATAAGTGAAAGATAAACGAGCAGCAATGTTTCATAAGCAAGACATGACCATTGAAACTCATCCAACTTCGGTGCACCCCATTCAAGGGCCAGGAAGTATGGCTACAATCATCCATAAAGAAGGAGCAAAATAAACGATGGAAATCTTGCTTTCAGTTGTACCTCGCGAGAAACATCCATTGGAATGCCTGCTGGTAATTTATAAGGAAAATAACGAAATGCTTCTTCGACGTCTGGACCCCGATAATAGAGAGGGTCAGCCCAACTAGGCGCTCGAAGATAGGATGATAAATCAAAATTGCGTAGTGCTAAAAGGAATTCTTCATATCTGAAAAAATAAAAATTGATCATTAAACATCAATAAGTTGGAAAACATCAAGTATGCCATCAAGAATCCATTAAATGAATTTGAACCATCTGTCTTGTGATTTTTTACCTTCTTTGTACTTCGATAAAATATTCTGCTTCAACCGCACCTGAATATTGTTCAACTGGAGCTGATAAATGATCAAATAAATCGGGAAGAAACTCAACACCTGATCAAAACAATAAATTAATTCTGTGACAACACCCATGCCACTAACGTTTCGGTTGAGATGGTTACTTCTCTGATTTCTGGATCAATCGTTTCAATGTTCTGTATGTCATGCATCGTTAGTTGTGGCGATAAAACCTTCAAATCGACCATCGTCCTTCATGAGATCTTTCACACCGTCATGAAAAATCTTCCGCCAGTGATTGGGATAGGAATGTTGGAGTACTTCTTCCGTAATCTTCTTGGGCCGCACGATGGGGAGATTGCTGACTCAATTGTTTCATCGAATGGATCTTCGATGTCTCTTTGAGCCTGCCCTTGCAATCTCCCCAGATCCCCCCCCGACGACGAGTCGATTTTTACGGGCTGACGGCCGCCAGGTTCGTCTGGCGGTTTTTTCTTTTGTCTGTTTCGGAGATGCTGAAAAAAGAGGAAAACTTAAATCTTCTACTTTCCGAAGTGGCTCACTTGGCGACCCACCAAGTCCCAACATCGCGCCCCATCCGCTTTTTTTCTTCTCCCTCTTCACCTCTTCGGATTTCTCTCGAGGCGATCCCATCGGGCTTGGACGTTCTGAACTCTGGCCTGGTTGTTGCGCTTTTCTTTTAATTTCATTTTTTAATTGCAAATTTTCATTTTGCAGAGTTTGATTTTGTTGAATTTGAACACTTAAACGGTTCTAACAAAACGTATGAGGATCAATGAAGACGTTTTTGGGACAAACAATCCTCACTTCGCATCCGAACATTTCTCCTCTGCTTTTTCTCTCTGGCGCAAAGCTTCGCCCATTTGTTTTTGGGGATTCACGGAGAGAAGAGCGCAAATTCGCTCATTTCTATAAATACAAAAGATTGAAATAAAATAAATGCTTTGAATTGTTCTACCGTCAGAGTCCGTCGGTTTTTGAACTGTTAACGCCAATCCTGACACATCCGTTTGGGACACAATTGGTATAATTTTTGAATCCATGGATCGTTTCAAATCCCGTAAATAATCATTTTTAGGAAAGCGTAAGATTTGATTGAGCCACATCGTTCGACTCGACTTCGGGATGAAATTCATCAACATCTTGCGCAAAATGAATAACAAGTCCCAAAACTTGTCGATGATAAGCAAACAATTGCTGAAGAATGAAATGAACGAATCAACTAAATGTTGCGTCTCACCTTTGCAATCGCCCCCAAATGATTTTTTCAATGCTCTTAAGCGATCAATTTCCCAATGATCAATTTCGCCATAATGCCCTTGAATCACGTCGTATGGAGCATTGGCTGTAGATATCCCCGGTCGATTCATCTCCAGCTCTACAAAAAGCCATTTGTGACGCTCAATTCTACATTTGTCTTACGAATTTTGATCAACGTCAAAAGTGCTGATTTCTCTTTCTGCTTGGCGTTTCAAGTGAGATGCGCGCTTCACTCGTTCGTCCACCTTCTCCATTAATGTGCTGTTAATCGCTGACCCAAATCGGCTGACAATCGCTTCACGGGACTCAACCGCTTTCTGTTATGAAAATAGATTTCAATAAAGAAGGGGCAAAGACTCAAAACAAATCGTACAAACTAGAGAGCTACAAACACTCCATTCGACGTCGTACTATTGTATGTCAACTTGAGCTCTCACTTGATATTCTTCATAGCGAGCATAAGACGATCTTGAAGCCTCTGACGCTTTCTCCCCAAATCACCGTCTGGAGGTGGAGCGCCATGAACTGTAGAAACGACAATTTGTGGAAGACGCGCCGATGAAGGGGAGTCTGCCGCAAAGCTTGTTAGAAAACTTTGATCTGCGCTTGAAAGGAGCGCTTTTCCTGATTAAGAAATTGTCTTTTCGCAGTACAAGATCATCGTATGCAGCCATCAAGGGTTTAGAAGCTTCATTCTGGATTGTAGAAACAACTTCTTCGGCGGAATCGCTAATCGTTCCAATCAATTTCGTGAAACTATCGAAAGCCTTCAAGAAACCCATCATTTCAACCTACAGGGACGAAGAAGGTTGAAGACGACAAAGGAAAAGTACAAGATAAGTTCAAGGGGACAAGACAAGTGAAAAGCAATCAGAATGATTCCCTCAGATGAATAGAGATGATTTTGTTTACCTGTAGGAGATGTTATCGTTGGTACTCAGAAATTTCCGTACGACGACGCAAGTCCCTTGATTTCTTGCAACAAAGGAAAACATCTCTTGAGCTTCCTTCTGAATTCCCAAAAACATGTTGGCCAAGTTTGTATTCCACAGAGAATTTTCTTTGGCGCTTCTGCTTGAAATGGACGGTGAAGCGCCCTGCAAATGGGAAAATGATACCGCAACTGCCGACATCGTGTATCAAACTTTGCCTAAATGACAAAGGGGATTCATTTTAAGGTGTTTTGTTCCTCGGAATCACTGCATCCTCCAATAACGTTGCATTGATAAACACCCTCCAACAGCATGATCTGCAACCAGTCATCCTGTTTTTCTGCTGGTCCTGCTCAATAAGAGCTGATCGTTCTCCTCTATGCGAGTTTTCAGCTCGACCCGCCTATCTGTGTCTCCCTAAACTGTTCTGAACTCTGACATATGGACTGTTCTCTTTTGGATGAGTCACATGTATGTGTAAAAACCGTGTTCCATAAGTTTCTCTACTTCTGCCGCACAAGTACTGCGAACAGAATAAGGTCTTAAACACTTGGCGGGATCCAACAGGGATGAGAATAAAGCACAAGGTCTCTGATCTGACGTGCATCTGGCTTCCCAGCACGCACACCCTACTGAAACTTTTAAACTTTTCATATGAGGACATCCAGCAGAAGAAGAGAAGAATTGAATTAACTCATCAGGATCTTACTGTGGAATCTTCGCTTGTTGCCGACCTTCTTACCGTGATGAGGACTTTGTGGTTCAACCGGACTTTCCGGAATCAAAAACAGTAGAAACAAAATTGATAGAGTCAGAGAAACGCCAAAGAGTTGATCTGGTAGGAATCAGTTCTATGATAGTGATAGCCCTATTGTTATGGTAGTAGTCTCCAGCCCTCGTGTTTTATGATAGTCCAATCCCTATTGTTCGATAGTATCCCTTATGTGATCTCCAGAACATCATTGTCTTTATTGTTTTAGCAACCGGATTCTTCAATTGCTGTATGCTCTCATGTAGAGCCTGTAGCTTTAGATGCGATTGTTCAACCTACACAAAAACATTTTGAAGTGAATGAACCGCAGAGTCCTGGATTCGAAAGTCCTTCAACGACAAGCGTGCCGACGACAACAGTTTACTCCGATAGGGGAGTCAGTGATAAAGCTTTCTATCGCGTCATCCCGGACAACTCCCGTCGCACTCACCAGACCTTTTGGAGGCAATCGGTAAATACATCTATTCATGTAGATATCCTGATGATTTGGTTTCAGACAATGAGACAGGCGATGATTGTTTGGCTCAACCCTCACTGGACGACCCGCACTTTCGTTGGATCATGTGGATGCACCCTGGGAGGATGATTCTCGTCCACCTCCAATCTTAGCAACGCAAGTCTCGTCCAGTAGAGATGATCAATCTTCGGGATGTCACTCAGCGATATTGTTCAAGCTGAGCAAGATATCTTTCGTATCAGAACTTTAAAGAAAGAGGTGCGATGATAAGCGTTCTGTTATGACGAAAGTTGTGACGAAGTGTCCTTACATGTATTTCTGTCAGGCTGAGGCTCTTTATACTGATGAACGTTTGCTGAAGGCGTGGATGATTGCAGAGACATGTTGAGAAAAGCAACTCGCTACGCTGATGCGATGGAAGCAAATTTTCCAACTGCACAAGGAATCAAATACGCGGATGATTTTCGACTTACGTCTCAAGAATTAACCCAAAGTGATTCCTATCTTGGAATTTCAACAAAGGTCTGAAGAGGTTATTTCGCATATCTCTGAATGTCTTATGTAATCCAGGTTCGCCTTCTTATGGATGTTTTTTCTGTTTTTGGATTGGAGGATCGCGTGAGTGAACAACTCTGTTTCTTCTGTCGCTGAGTTTCGTTTCTCAGTTTGATTTGTCGACCCCCAACTGTTGAGAGTGGAAAGGGGCGTCTCTTCACTAAGGAAAGCGCTACTTCTGATACCACGGTGCAGATGTTATCAGGCCGCCAATCCGCTGAGCTTGGACACAGTGAATCTCAGCACAGTATTAAAAAGGGATTTTTCAGAATTGGATCAAAAAAAAGGAAGGAGGAAACCACTGTGACGGGAGTTGGAATATCGGCTTTGTAAGTCATTGCAGCTCTAAGACCATGTTCAACTTGATTTTTTCTATTGTATAGACCAAGCGTCGAAAATTCTCCTCCAAAGAAACATAAATTCAGCATACGAAAACAAAAACGTGATTCCATTCAGCAGATAGTTCCTCCAGCGTCGCCCAGCGGAATCCAGTGGTTAGAAGAAACTCAAAAGGGATTAGCTCTGTCTCATAAGATGAATAGTAACGGATCAATAAGTGTTAGATTGAAGGTTAAAATGTAAGATCTCCACAATCTGAATATTGTGAATGTTTCGCTTCGTCAGGCGAATTCCTCTTTTTCAAGTTTTGGCGATTCTTAATGAGATCGATTTTTACGATAAATGGGTCCCCTATTGTAAAGTACTCCTAGATCCCAAGAAGGAGAAGATCGTAATTGTGTCCTTTTTGTAGAAATGCACTGGAATCGCTAAGACGTCTCGTGCGTCGATGATCATTCAGCAAGTAGCGGAATATCCCTGGCCAATAAAGCAAAAAGAAACCATCAGTTTTTGCTTTGGTGTTGATGCTCTCGACGAGTTTGGATGTGTTTTGATAACTTCGTATGGCTTGGCCGAGGTCAGTCAACGTCTCTGCTTATGTTTATCATTGTTTTTATATTTCAGGATGTTCAAACTTTTCTGGGACATTCTATCCCTCCTCCTCCAAAGAAATGTCCACGCGTACCAAGCAGCCATTTTCTATTTCTGCTTTTTCCAGTGAAGGATGGAAATTCAACAATCGTTGAAATGTTCGCAAACGTCGATCCTGGAATCACAACCTTGCGGTCTGTTATACTCCCTGTTGTCAAACTGGTGGTGATACGAGTACGTCTGTTCAAATCTCATTTCTAATTTGTTTTCATACATTTTAAATGTTTGCATCTCAGTCTGTAAAAGGCTTTTTCCACAAGATCGGAGTTCTTGCAACAAATTTTGCAGCCTCTGGCTATGAGGAGAAAGTAAAGCAGAACCCTGAGATTTATGGTGCGTTTTAGATCGCTCTGTGTGTTGAATTGAGATTCTGTTCTAGAGTGGATCAAAAAAGCGAATCGGTGACGGCGTTGAGCTTGGAAGATTACGACGGGGAAGTTCTGTGCAAACCCTTCTGTTTGACGAACTTAAAGAAGCGAAATGATTCGATCAAGTTTTTATATTTTTTTCGTCAAGTTATCCACTTGGAATTACTTAACTAGATTTTGAGACCATCTGTTCCTCGTTTGGTTCTTCTGAGTGTTTGAAATCTCTTCCATTCAAGCTTCGTCACCCACCAATTTTTTTTTCTGTCGCAACTCTTTTCTTATGTTGTAAAGTCTGTCTGTATGTATCGAAGGCGTTGCACGTTTGTGGCTTTCCACACTGATGACACTCAACAACCAAACTTCAACTTCAGAAAGGAGATTTTTTCAGATGGATTTCAAACTGTTTAACGCACTGTTTTTTATTTCCTTTTTGTTGATCTCACAGTAAGGAAGCTCAGACAGTAGTTAGTCTACTTACTTTGTATCTTGTCAGGGCACATGGTGGTGCCGAATCGGAATCATCGCAGTAAGCTATTGATGCACTTTCCCTCCCACATTGTTGTTTCCCAGGAAGAGGCGGTTTCGATTCCTCCCCAGACTAAAAATACCAACACGCCTGAAGGGAATATCTTTGTCGAAATGGACGGAACAGATTCGGGAAAAAATCCCGAGCCCTAAACTGATGACCTGGATCAGAGATTTAGGCTCCAAAATTAATCTACCGAAACTACCAGCGATCAAGATTACAGTCCCCCAAGTATCTCACTACTACAAGTGTTGCTCCGCTGTTTGACAAAGCGTCGGAGAAAGCGAATTCAGTGCTTGACGACATAAAGAAAGCTCTACCGAGAAGGCTTTCAAGTTACACGCTGGAAGAGATTGTTCTTGAAGCTATTCGAAAGATCCATGCTGACCCCGACAGCTTGGCCTGGTTACCGTAATGCACTGATGAAACCAGGTGGTCCATCCGAAGCTGAATTGGAAAAAAAAGCCAGAATATGTGTTGCTTGAGGCGCTTCGAGTTGGACTGGTGGACGTTTACCAAGATGCTATCGACCAAGATTTCTCAGATATTGCCACTGGGTTCCAACAGATGCAGTCAAGTGGGAGCATAGAATAAAGTCAACTATTTATCACCCAATGTAACCAATTAAGAAAATAATTAAGCAATTTAAGAATGATGTATGAAGTATCAATTAATGTGTTTTGAATGTTTTTTTATGGACTAAAACTGGATCGACCCAATTTTCAGATGAGGTGTAGTCACAATAGCGACTGAACTGATGAGGCAATCACGCCATCAGAAGAGCTCATTGGAACGGAATCCGGGAAGGCGAAGCAGATCAAACTCCTTTCAAAAAAAAACGGGATGATGAACCAGAGTCAGTTCCTCGGTCTAGAAGATCAAGAACAAGACCTGAAAGACTAAGATCGGAACCGAAGGAGGATGGAGAACTGGAGGAATACGCTAAAAAAAAAATTTCAAAAATCACTCCAGATGTTATTTTGGGACGCACTGGTGGTGTTTATATTCCCCCATTTAAATTGGCTCAATTACAGAAGGAGGTAACTGATAAAGGATCCTTGGAGTACCAGCGGCAAACATGGGAAGCACTTCGGAAGAGTATTAATGGTTTGGTCAATAAAGTGAATGTCGGAAATATAACAAGCTTAGTTCAAGTGAGATGGAGAAGATTTTTGTTGTCTCTCATCAATTTTCGCTCTTCAGGAACTTTTTCGTGAAAATTTAGTCCGAGGAAGGGGATTACTTGCGCGATCAATTCTTCGCGCTCAGATGGCATCGCCGGGATTCACTCATATTTATGCAGCACTGCTTTCCATCATAAATTCCAAACTTCCAGAAGTAGGAGAGTTGGTGATCCGCCGTCTATTACTTCAATTTCGCCGTGCTTATAGACGTAACGACAAAATTGTTTGTAAAGCTTGTGTAAAATTTATTGCTCATTTAGTTAATCAAAGGGTGATTCATGAACTTTTAGCTCTTCAACTTGCTCTGCTGCTATTGGAGCAACTAACAGATGACTCGGTGGAAGTCTGTGTAGAATTCATGCAGGTGGGTAGAAGCTGCGGATCTTGGTTCCTTCTTTTGACGCACCTCGTGTTTTAGGAAGTGGGTCAAGTTCTCAAAGACGTCTCACCGGCCGGATTTCAAGCAATTTCCGATCGTTTTCATGCAATTCTTCAAGAAGGCCAAGTTGATAAACGTGTTCAATACACAATAGAAAAGTTTTATGAAGCCACGCGTAAAAAATTTGTTGACTTTCCGGGCGTTCTAAGCGAGTTGGATTTGGTTGAGGAGGAGGACCAAATAACGCATCAGCCAGAATTGTTGGATACCGATATCAAGGGAGATGAAATGCTCAACATCTTCAAGCAAGAAGAATCAGAAGTAAGTGTTACAAGTTGATCCTCTAATGCTTCAAGATGGTCCATTTTGTCTTCAACAGGTTTTTATAAAAAACGAGGAAACGTGGAAACAGTTGAGTCGCGAGATTTTAGGAGAAGAATCTGAAGTTGAGGGCGATGGAGATACAAGTGAAGATTCGGAAGCAGAGGATGAATTAATGGGGATGGATACAAATGTGAGGATGAATGGTTGGACTGATCTCTAACGATTTCTTGATTAGGGCCAACAAACAACAGAAATTAAAGATCTCACAGAACAAGATTTGATTAATCTCCGTAAAACCGTTTATCTAACATTTCAATCGTCAGCCACGTTTGAAGAGTGTGTTCATAAAATATTAAAAATGAATATCAAAGTGAGTCGGTGTTTCTGATTCGGTTTTTCTAATGTGCTGTTCTCTTAGGAAGGATGTGAGATCGAAGTCTGCACGATGCTTATCGATAGTAATGCGATGGAGAGAACTTTTCAGAGGTTTTTTGCACTACAAGCGGAGAGGTTTTGTCAGCTCAAACCAGTTTATGTAGAATGTTTCTTGGAGTGTTTGAAGCGCCAGTATCAAACAGTTCATCGATTGGAGACCAACAAACTCAGAAACACCGCAAAGTTTTTCGCTCATCTTCTCTTCGCAGGCAAGATCAAGCTGTTGTCGCTGACCTACTCTTTATCTTAATTTCAGATGCGCTTCCTTGGCAATGCTTGGAATTATTCGTCATTACTGAAGAAGCAACAACCTCCTCAAGTCGTATTTTTATTAAAATCATTTTCCAAGAATTAGCAGAGCAACTCGGTTTACGTAAATTAAATGAAAAACTTCACGATCCTGTTCTCGCTCCACACGTTCAGGTAATCATCAATTCAGTAGATCATAGATACGATGATGTCTCTACTCATTCCTATTTCTCATTCCTATTTCTCATTCCTATTTCTCATTCCTATTTCTCATTTCTATTTCTCATTCATATTTCTCAGGGGATCTTCCCAACTGATCATCCTGCTCACATTCGTTTCTCCATTAATTTCTTCACTGCTATTGGTCTTGGAGGATTAACTGAGAGATTGCGAGAAATCCTCACAACAATTCAGCAACGCATTGCACAAGAACATGAGGTATTTTCTGTTTTCAACATTCAATTATCTTTATTTTGTTATTTCAGGAATCAACAGACTCTTCAGATGATTCGAGTGGTTCTGATTCTTCTGGGGATTCCGATTAAAACGTCGTGCTACAACATAAGCTCTTTAAATTGTTTTTTGTTCGGTGCAATCAGTTTTCAAGAAGTTGACTGATCTCATTCAGACAAGATCTTCCAACACTGCATCTCCTTCCACTGGACTTTGTTCCACTGCCATCTCATTGTTTCCCCTCAGCACTCTAAAGTATCCATTTTCGCCCCATCGATCTCCCCAACTATTTTGAACTCTCCAAAATGGAATTCCCTTTCCATTGTACGGATCTATCGCTACGCCAATTCCGACAATCAGAACCGCGTGATCCACTTTGATCCAGGGGTAACTTGCATCACCCTCCCGATACTCTGGTGTCAGTCGGATGGACGTGTGAAAGATTCCATTTTTGTAGACTCCGAATTCAGCTGCGACAGAATGTCCGATGAAATGCATTACAGACTCTCTTACGAGTTGGTTCAATGGAGGCGGCAAAGGGACCTCTTCTAAGCAATGCATCTTTCATGGCCTCTTCATTTCCGTGGCCGTATGCTCCACCAATATAACCATGATTCCTAACATGGATCCGATGGCGACAATGGTGTTCTGGGAGTTGAGGATTTGGGACTTTCAAACATCGAAGAGACGATTCAGAGACCTGAGAGGTGGGAATGCGTTTAGAACTTCAAATCAGAGAATTGAGACTTGCAGTCAACTGAAAGATCTTCTCGTGATATTTCGACTTACCGAACCAAAGACATCGTTACATTTCTTTTGCTCTCCTGAAAGCATTGCAACTCCTATTTGAGATTTTTCTTCAACGGAAATAAACGACATCCCTCCGCTTCTACCCAACATTTCGTCATACTTTTCTACACAATCCTTCGAGGGCAGCCCTTCCTTACGCGTTGCACCAGACTTCAAAGCCAGATAAATATAACCGCCGTGACACCCTTGACTAAGTGACGTGCAGGAAACCATTGGATATTCGCTCACGAACAGCTTCCCCAAGACAAGTGGGTTGGCGGCGTGATGGATCCACAATCTAAAGCAAGTAGTTCGCAAAGCAGAAACTTCATCTTCCGTCTACCTCGATGTCAACATTCGCGCAGCTGCCAAAGCGTAACACGAACCGCAGTGTCCCTGATGAATAACTGGAGGAACGACAGAAACGCGCTTCCCAATCTGAGGGACAGATCGGAATGTATTGATTGAACTTGTCGCCTACTCTAGAGTAAACGTCATCCGGATTTGTCCAGTCGAATTCAGCTCCGGTTTTCCAAATAAGTGGCAAAGAAACCAGAGGAAGATACTGTACAACGGGCTGAGAATTTGGGATTGTTACAACATCGAAATGACGAGGTGTCCCAATGGCCCTATTGAGTTTTCCCAAAGTCGTGATCTAAAATGTTGGAAATGGGAAAAGACTTGAAGCCGTACCAGAACCCACTGTCTCATTCCCTATTGTGACGTAGCCGTCCGTTACAGGTTTCCAATGGACTCCTCCGTCTCCTTCTGATTTTCTACTTGCTAGTAATTTCTGGACGATATATTCAATTCCCCCTTCCCTTTTCTGTGGAATGGGATAATATTCTTCATCATGTCCCATATTTCTTCTTACCGCGTATTTCTGATAATCTGGATCATGTTTCGCTATTTCCATTAAACTCAAGCGTTTAGCTTCAATTTCATTCGTCCATTTATTTGGATCAACAAGCGTTGCATCTCGATTTTTCATTTTCTGGCCCCACCAACATCCGTTCTCATTTTCTGCAAAATCAAGAAGATAAAATTTGCTACCCTTCAACTGCTGACTGTTTTCGATTCCACTCCACCATCCCATCATTGTCGTCCCGCAGTAGCTCCGTATTTTCAACCCTTGAGGATCCGTGGATGATTCGCCGCGTTGATCAACAAACATATACTTGAAATACGCAAAGTAGTTCTTTCCTTTATACTTCCAATCTAAACCTTCATCATAAACCATCGTCCAGTCAAACGTGTTCGCCTGCTCTTCATCCATTCTTTCTTCCTCCAATGATTTTGGGTCTAGAACATGACGAGGCGTGAAAAGAACGTCAAAAGACTGCTTTTCTCTAAATTTTTGCGAAATGTTTGGTGGAACCAAACCGGCAGCCCCTTAGAAGAAATCACAAGAGCTTCCCATTACAAGACGATTGGAGACTCACAATGTTGATTGGGATCATCTGGGAGAGAGTAGCCACAGAAGGGATCAATAACTTCTGAATTACAAGGATGCCAATGTCCCAAATGGATCCTCCATAGTCCAATAACGTCACCGTGAAGACAATGAGAAGGAAGGTCACAATGGACAGTGAATTCTAAGAAACTCCAAAAAAGCACGAGGGCCGGCAATGAACGGATTTTTGAAGAAGCACAACCCCCCCGAGTGCCCATACAGCATCAGCAGCCTGAATCTGTTCTTACTTATAAATTTGGGGATGACTCCACTCTTGCGTGTGTTTCTGTCCCAAACGAGAATAATAATAAATGAAGATTCATTATTCAAGATCAATCCATACGCTGCTATGGATCCCAAATGCAAGAGTTTCTTGATTCGATCTTAAATGTTTGTATCCTATAATTCCCAAATGAGATCCACGCTTCTGCTATCAATTACAGGTTGCATTACATTAGTATCGTTCTTGTCTCATCCACACCACTAAGTTGCTGCTCTGCTGGTTTTCTCAAGTGTTCGTTGTTCATCAATTTCGCACGTTTTTCGACAAACTGTTGACGACCAGCTCCTTTCCCAATTGAGACGCTGGTTTGTATCGCTTTCCAGTAATCAAGAACGCATGCACTACTCGCTTCAGTATAGACTTTGAATTATTTTTCGATGCCCATTTTCTTGTCGCACCACATTGCATTCTTTTTTCTTGTTACTGCGGCATCAGCCGTATGTTTCAACAGTCACTGGGAGAGATTTCAAAATTCTGGCCCAATTAAGTTTGATTTTGACCCCGATGGTCTAAAAGATGTTAACATCACCATAGATGCAGTTCAGACTGACTTTCGCCTTAATTCAATGTTTTCGGTATGTTTCGATCACACGCGACTTACTGCAGAGTGCCCCTCAGGTCATTCTTATGGACTCGCATTTCTCACATCTCTGGAACTCCATTTCAACAAACGGAGTTATTGAAGTGACGCAGCAAGTCCATCTTCAACATTTCAACACTATTTTCTATGTCAAATTTTCCTGCAATTCAAGCTGTGACATTGACTATAATGTGTGCATCGATGCCAATGCAATGCCAACCACACGGTCGTTACAAGAGGAACTGCCACAGCCACCCCAGTCCTTTGCCGACTTCAGAGCGTCTGAATTTCAAACACAGCGGCAACTCAGTGACAATGCGGGTCCGTCTCCTTATGGCAGCGATCTTTTGGAGGAGCATCAAGAAACACCACCTTGGAGTCGATCAGGGATTAATGAGAAAGAACCAGAAAGCCGTAGTGCGTCTCTTGTAGCGCTAATCCTGAGTGCCACTGCTGCTGCTGTCATTGCTTTGCTGATCATTGCTTGCGGGATTCAGCTGATACGGAAATCTGAAGGAGATTCGTTAAAAACCAGCCAACGTTCATTTCACCGTATAGTGCCACCATCTCAGAGTATTGCGTGCGCTGAACCCCCTCCCGTTCAGAGAGACGAACGTCGTGATGACGTCGCTGTTCCCGCTCCCAACAAACCGGCAACAACGCCTGGGAGTGCTGTAAGTGCAAAATGCTGAACCCCAGAATACGGAATAGTTTTTCGAGTGATAAACTGGAGAATTTGTGTCTGTAATACATGTTCGGAAAAATGCAAAAAAAAAGTACTCAACCTACAGCCCATTTTGGAACAAAAGTATGATGGTCATTGATGCTAGCCACAAGCAATCAAATACAGGGAGACTAGACATAAACGAGCCACGTTGAACTTCCTCAGCCGAAAGCATGTGGATGACATTACTGTGCACAAGTAGATTGTGCAACATGAACCAACTGAGAAACATTAGACATAGACCAGGGTTTCACTTCGAGCAACGGCCACACGTCCTTCTCTTAAGCGTTGAGCTTCCTCGGGTGAAAGCTTGCGAACAGCAGAACGAAACTGGCAAAGAAACATAACAGCATTTCAGGCATGAAGCAGCTCTTCATTCAGAAGATTACCTGGAAAGCTATGAACAGAAACCAAACCTGAGTGAAGAACTTCAAGATCTCAAAAAGCACTGAAAGACAATAAAGTTAGCCGCCAACTAGGGTGAAGATGACTGACTGTCAAATGGGTAACTGAACACTCCGAAAGTAATGGCAAGCGCTAATCTCGCAATTGAGGCAAACACGCAATAAACTATGTAGATCCATAATAGCTTTCCATTCCTGTAACCTTTTGCAGCAAACTTTCCTAAAAAAAGAGAGAAAAGGATCCAAAATTCAATTCTATGGTCGCAAACCTATAATGCCGAAAGGAATAAATATTAGGCAGAAAAGACCCCAAAATGGTGCAAAGGATAATGCAGAAAGCCCAGCAAGACAGCAATCCAATATGGCCACGCATGCTAAGGACGCAGATGCACGATACGCGTCAAATACATGGTTGCCGGCAGCCTGAGTTGAAATGGGACCTACAGCATTACAGAAAACTTGCAACGGTGCATTTAAGGGAATCACGTACTTGGAAGCTCCTGCATAGGAATACCATAAACTTTCGGATCTGGTGCTTCATACCCTCCAAGAGTTGCTGATGTTGCGTCGCGATCAAGAGCAGCTTGCTTGTCTTTCTTTGTTTCCGTTTCCGTTTGATTTTCTGGCGTCATGATGCAAATAATAGATTTGACCAAAATATGAAATGGAGTTAGTGGACCAGGCACGCAGTTTTAATTTTCATGAGGATTTCCTGTTTTGCTTCCGTTCAGCAAAGAGATTGCATGGTGCCAGTAGTGCTTGCAAACAATAAAAATAGAATATTGTAATTAGCAACACCACACAAAGCTAATCAACATTCGTCACAAACTTTCATTGAAACATTTCGTTAAGTTGTGTTGGGTTGTAGCGAACTGCTTTGGCGTCACCAGACTCGTAGTGAAACGTTAGATGCTTATGTGATTTGAACTCTGCGGTAAATAGGTTGCGATACTCGCTTATCGGATACCTTCCAATTGAGAGTTCCATGTTGTCTTCTTGTTGGGGCGCTCTCCAATTCTGTTCTTCCCATATGCGCCGTTTTCGCTGAAGCTCCTGAATTCGATTTAACAAGATTGGGACATCATCGACCCATAATGACGATATTTCAAGACGCTGTTGATGTTGAGGAATCGATCCTCTCATTTTTTTGAAGAGAGCTGAAGTCCCACTCCATGGTGTCCCAATATCCTCGTCAATTTTGCCGCCTTCAAAGTCCTCTTTCGTCCTTCTCTCAAATGCTCTCATTTTTGGCAACAATCCTGATCTATAAAAGTTGTCTATTTCTTGCTTAAGTAAATCGGCATGAACTCTTGTTAACTGCAGGTTGATATATTCGTAACCTTGAAATTTTGAGTTGAGGGAGTCAAACGATTCATTAGGATCCCACATGACACCCCGATCTTGTGAGTTTCCAGAGACACTCCCAAGTTGATGGTCTCGCATTCCGAGCGCTCCTATCCAAGCAAGACACCCGATGCGACGGATTGTACTCCTTTTCTCTTACCCAACCGAGGAGCTTCATGATAGAAGCCTCGACAGTAGCGGTCCAGAAATAGATGCAATGGAGCATCTAAACAGAAATTTCGTCTGATGAATCTTTCATGGAACGAAGCTGCTTGATTTGAATTCCAACGTCCTTTAAAAACAGGAGAATGGAACATGACGCGATTCATCGATTACCCCGATTGTCCCTATTCGGTTTGCTCAAAGGATTTGTTAAATCCACTGAAGGTGTTAGAGAATATTGAATTGATAGTGTCGTGCAAATTTCAATCAAATGATGGAATCGATTCAAAGGTTGTTGTAGACTTCCACCCAAGGGAATTCCCGCCGCTGAAGGACAATAAGAATGAGGAGCAATTTCAACGTTTGAGAAACAATAACAGTACGGTAGACAGTGGAATACTACTCGTGAAATAGATTCACCGGGTCTCATTGGAAGGCGATTATAAGTTCTCCATGTCGATGATTGGGACTCAAACAATAAAGCTGGAGTCAGCATTAGAACTAATGGACCGATGATATCCACAGCAAAACATGATAAGAGGGGCATCAGCGTAAGAGAAGGGGGAAGCCTTTCACGAAGAACCGCGAGCACTTGCCGTCTGCTGAAGTTGTTCAAAGATTGGTGACACAAGAAAGTCTGACCTTCGAGTGGCAAGAATCTGACATCGATATGAAAGCGTCCATGTGTATGGAATGAGGCGTTGGATAGGAAGTGGCTGGGGAGGGAACGCAGATGCGCAATATGCACGAAGCATCAATAATGGCAACGCTAGGGCCCAAGATTCCTGCATATCGAGATCAGTTGTTTGATGGTCTTTGTTTCAACCCTTACATTGAAGAAAACTCGTTTACGCAAACAATCCGCTTCAGAAAGAAGATCTGATGGAACGATTATGTGATCTAGAAACTCTTAAGTGAACTACCGCAAAAATAAGCGATCTTGTCTTGGCAAGCGTCTGGAAACGAAACCTGAATCACACAATAAACAATCAGAAGAACGGCACATCCTGACTTTCTCAAGGTTATCTTGCAATGTAACAGCAAGGATGTTGAAATCAACATCTTGTCCCATGTCCTTGAAAGACTTTAAAGCATACTTAGATCTGACAGAGTATCCAATAGGAATGTAGTATGAGAGGAAAAGTATCACCTTCCTGTCTGTTTGGTTGCTGGTGATGTAAACAATCTTTGAATGACTTCAAGCTCTCCGATATCGCGATCATGATAAAGATCATCCCAAAATGTTTCAATATCTTCGCCAGAGAGTCTCTTCCCTTCTGCTCTAAACGTTCTGAATCAAGTTTGTTTGAGAGAGTCATCCAATAGAATCGCTGCGTACTTCGCAATCAATTGTAAAGAGTTCAGAGTTGAACGAATATCTGCATCTGTAAAATGGATCAATTTGGGTAAACAGGATCCATCAACATCAACGCCCTCTCCAACACAAATTTCGGTCAATCTACAAAATAAACCCTTTGATGAAGCCCTTCAGGAGAAGATGATTGCACACCGTTTTAAAAGTCTCTGATCGTTCGGAGATCCAACGACGATCACTTTGGCTTTGGGACGCAAGGCACGAAGGGCTCGATGGTAAAGGTCATTGCAACAACAAATAATTGGTCTAAAAAAAGAATCTTCCAACTCACAATTGGAACTCAAAACACACTGCGGATCCTCAACATTCTATATACATGGGCAACATTCCATATGCATGAATCGCCGCTTTCTAGATGGACTAGTGAATCACAATTGTACCTCTTGATTTTGGGTTTCCCGTTTTTCTCTTTCTCTTCTAAAAGTTTCACCAAAGCATCCACTGCATCGCGGTCGCAACCCTCCACCTCATCCAGTAGAAGAATACTTGGTCTGTCGAAAGAACAATATATATCACAGAAGTGGAATCCCTTCCTGTACCGGCCAACGAATCCCTTTCCTTTTGAAAGTCCTCCAATCATTGATGTATCCATGCAGGTGACAGACTTCACAATATTGATAATTTTATCTAGAGAATTGTTTTCACATTAGAAGGACATCAACACGTTATGATCACCTTTCGTTCGATCGTCGCTAGAATTCACTTCCACAACATCAAATCTGAGAAGAAAGAAGAGATTCCGATATTGTGAATTTCCACCAACCCCGCCTGTCGCGCTAATATGTGGACGGATGTGGTTTTTCCCACACCGGGAGGTCCAGCGATTAGAAGAAGCGGTGATATCGCGCTAGACTCTTGAATCGGCGCATTCTGTATTCCAACGATTTATAATTTACAAGCATCATGAATCTCTTCTACTTACATTTCCTGCTTCATTCATTTCTTTGGCTTTTGATGAAACCATCGGAGGGACTTTATCGGAAGATTGTTGGATTGTTTGATCGCGATCTTTCCATGTTCCGGAATTCTTGTCGAATTCTTTCAACCATTTCAGAACACTTCGATTGATACCTTCATCAGTCAAGAGATCTAGATAACTGTCAATAAAGATAAACACGTATTTCCTTCCATCGTTATAAAGATTCAAACCTTTTTGGTTGATATTTCATCGACCACAATTGATTCAATCCTGGATGCCAATCTTTTGTCCGAAATCGACTTCGATCACGTTCACGGAACGCTGCTTTCTCGTCTTCTTCCTCCAACCGTCTAAGAGTGACGCATCAGTACTTAGAACAGATAATCGAGCTTATATATAAGAACTCGAATCTATCAATATATTTTTATATCGTAGATAACAACTCATCAATACATGTTTATCAATTTGGAACTCACTGAATCATTTGAGTGATTGGATCTTCAAGAAATCTCTCACGATTTCGACTTTGTGATGATAAATGTTTCTTGGAAGCGTTAGAGTCGACTGCCTTATAAACAATGTTATTCGAATGATACAATCACAACGCAGTAGTGCAACGAATCCAGAATGAGTGAGCGAGACTTACAAGAACATAAATGGGTCCAGAAGAGCAATCATTGCATGGCTCAAAATCGATGTAATCAATCTCATACGATGGACGTGACATCTGAACAACTTCAGTTGATATTTCTATCATCATTGGAAGACTCATGTACCTGAACACTCTCGCTCTTCATCTGGTATCTCTGTGAAATCCCATCCAATGTCCGAACTGCGGTATGGGTCCCAATTCCTCCAGCCACATTTTCAACAACGCGATCCAATTGGAACAATCCTGTGTATGTCCCAAAATTCCGTTTCCGCAATGCATTCCATACGTTTGCTCGCTTTTCTGAAATTTTGTTCGATGCAGAAGTTTCGACAGAATTTCTCGAAACGTCGTCAACAGTTTCATCATCAGACTCGATCAACGGATCCACATCATAGTCGATTTCTACATGTTTTGCCTTCTTGCTCGATGTCCCAATATCGTCGACATTTTCGGTGTGGAAATCAAACGGGTCCTCAAAGTTTTCATCAGGGTCTTCCGTCTCCAGAAACGTCACGCGACTCCCTCGATTTTTCAACTTCTCCTTCGTGACTCTTTTTCTGCTCAACTCATCAAATACGGAATCGAAGTTTTTCAGAGGTCGCGTGTTAGAGCTGCTGCTCTGTGAACTTGTTTGCACTAGATTCTTAGCTGCATAGCCATCGTTGCTCTTGGCCTCATTTTGAGTCTCTCGTCTAAGAAGAACCACACGCTTGGCAGGCAGATCTGACAAAAAGTTTGAATGCCTCAGAGTTGTTTAAGACAAACAAGAACCTGCTCTCACCAGCCAGTTCATTCTCATGCTCGCGAGGTCGTTTCTTGGCAGCAGGAACCTGAAAGAGTGCGCATGCACAATGTATTTGAAAACACCCTACACTCTCTTCAGGGGGTACAAAATCATAATCATCAAGATAGCAATCGAAATCACTTTCGTCCATTGTGGTTGAATTTTTGCAATAAGGGAGATGAACAGAATAATTCAGGTGCGGCAAAAACTAAAAAAACAGGAGGCTCTATTCATAAACACCATCGGCATCATTCAATGTCATGCGATCTAATAATTCGCATAACTGAACGTCTTCAGCATCTACGTTGGTCGAGTCCCCGTGATTTCTGAAAAATAGAAGAAATTGTTTTTGAAACGCATAGATTAATATATGCTTCCAATGAGGAAGTGAAATCATTGCTTACGTCGTATCTTTCCATAAATTCACCCCTTGGCGCATTACAGAATCTTCCTCAAGATCTCGCTTGAATTCTTCTAAATCTCTTCTTTCATCTTGATGCATCTTTGCAGGACCGGCAGAGGCCTTTTCTATAGGAAGTCGTTGAAGCACCCAATTACGTTTCCGTGTTTCTGCTCCTAATTGACGAGTCTTGCGAACCAGAATCACTTCATATGGAATCTAAACAACCAAGATAACCACATGAATTAGAACATCACCTACCTTGCTCTCGATTCCCGTATCTTCGTCAATACCACCGAGATTCAGAGTTGATAGATCGTATCCTAAACACCAATCTCCCACCCTCAAAACTTTTCCCAGGTGACTTCGAACAGTCGTCCGGGAGTCGTTTACACCAAAATCAGCTGCTCTTGCAATTTCGACGTCGACCAACCGTCCAGCGAGAGGGTCGCACCGAGGGTCGGAGAAGACGACAGCCGAGGACGTCGTATGCGACGACGGAACGTCCACCATAGCATCTGATGAAGCTCTCCTTCGAGTATCTTTGGATTTCTTGGCAGTTGGATTTACGAATCGATGCGCATGAGCCGCCACAGAAACAGTTCTCATGTCAACTGGCTCGATATCAAGAATCACAAATTCAGTTAAATGCCGCCGTGTAAGAACTGTAAAATGAAAAAATCATTAGAAGATAAGCCGCATGTCCCAATCCATTCAACTTGTCTTACTTGTCTCAAACGGGTGTCTCCAATATTTGTCTGCAGGGATGTCGATGCCTCTGAGACTAAAGGGTTCTATAAGCCGAATCCCGCTTGTGACGCGCGAACACAACAAAAATGGAGAAACTCCTCCATAAACAGTCCCAGCGATTCTTGGTGGAAGATAGATCTTGAAACAAATTGGACAATCACAAGGAGATATGGAGATACACGCCTACGAGATCGTCTTTAGAAACGGGGCACACTTCGATCGAGAGAGTGTGTTTATTGAATGCCGTGTTGGATTTGGAGTCGTGGGAGATCAATTGTTTGGAGTGGCGTCCACGAGAAGGCAACACAGAAGTAACGAATTCAGCGAACTTTTGTGCGTGAGACTTTGAACTGAATTGAAAATCAATACCATCTGGTGCTTCGATGGCTTTGAGAACTTTCTGCAAGAATACAAATCAGATGAAAAATGGGGGATCAATCCATACCTCATGTGCGTTTTGCTTCAGAATGGCTTGTTCTAAATACATCAAAGATCTCTTGTGTTGAGCCCTTTGACGAACTTGCACTACAGCCGTCCACGTATGGGGAGTGAATGCTCGTTTACAATCATCGCATTGTGTTGGTTGAATCACAAACTCAACAACACAATCTTGTTCAACGACTGTTGAGGCAACTACTTCTTTCTGTAAAGTCAATTTCACTTTAATCCTTCTGCTGTGGGGTTCTGTATACAAAAATCCAGCATCAACTAGCCGTGCACCGTCCCTCTTCGTCCCTTGTAATCCACGAATTCTCTTTAAACATAACGCCAGCAATTCCGGACTCTCCCATTCACACGCCAACCATGGAGGTCGCTGATACCGATTGCAGTGCTTACAGTAGGGGAGAACAAGATTTCTCTCGATCTCAGATGTTGCATCCACTTGCGTTTTCAAACAATTGACGCATTTTCCAGTTGGATTCGCCGGAATGACAACCGCACACATGCAGCACATGATCCGTTGATGCTGATCTTGCGCCTGTTCCATTCCAATGTACTGAATCGGTTGGAATGGCCCAGCAGATGCTTCCATTCCAGTTCCCATTCGGACTCCAATGAATCCCTCGCCCGCTTCATCGATCTCCATTTTTTGACACAAAAAACAGGAGTGCCCGATTGGGTCAGATAAATTTGTCTACATGCAGATCTCTAGAGGTCCTCTTCATTTTAGGCTTCTATGTTGGGAGACATCGTCGTTGATCAAACGATCTCTGAGGACGATCTGCTAAGAGGGCGGTTATCCAGAACGTCTTAAAATGTTCAATTTCATTCCCAAGCGTCATCCCTCGGTCAATCTTCTTTTTGGGAAGCGCCCCCTTCAAAGAATTGAAGTTGGCCATAAGCGACATCATGTCGAAGTCCCATTACCAATAATATCTCGTATTTATGAAAGTGTGAATCCAAACAAGGAATATCACAACAAGGACTACAACCCTCTCCATTGGAAAGCATTTCTCAATTTAAAGTACGTTAAACATTATTGGGACATTGTTCAGATTCCAATAATTCAGACTGAAGGCCTATTATTTATACGAAGCGTCCCAATCGACTCAGTCGACTAAGACTGCTTTGACAAAATTGGATTTTTATCCAAAATTAGAAGCACTCTATAAAGGACACTTAGGAGACGCAAAGACAGATATCGTGAAGGCAAGCAACTCAGAAAAAGGAATTGAATTTAATTTTCCAATTCAAGGGAAGAATTTATGACGAAAGAGTTTTGATCACACGTTAATGAAGACAATTCAAAAAGCATGGAAAATGACTTTCCGGCAATGAGCCAGTACTAATCAATAAAATGTTGCGAGTGTTTTTCTTGAAAGCTCTCCATTTCCATCTAGCGAGACGATAGAGACCAACATGACACTATGATGAACTGAATAATTTCTCAATTTCTTCTATTCTATTCTTACTTGTCATCATGTAGAACTGTGGGATTTTATATTCTGGAAATTCGACAAAAGCTCCTTTTGACGCCCCAAACTTTAATAAACTGTCAAACTCGCGTGGAGTGAAATTTCGAACTCGAATAATTTCACGTTTGCTGAAATAAGTCATGAGACGTCTTTGAGATGCTTTTCCCACCTGATTCCCAAAAGTTGAGGATTGAACTCTCGACGAGAATCTTTCAGCCACGACGTTGCAGCAATTTTAACGCCTGTCGAATACAAATTGAAGGAAATTGCTGAATCATGTGAAAATGAAGCGATAAGCAAGAACGTCCAACCTCGTTTGAATTGATCACCATCCCATTGCATGAATAATCTAGGTAGTGCAAGATGGTAGCCTGGGATATAACCGTTAAATTTTGTGTTATCGTAGCGCATTGAAAGATATTTCGATACTTTGAAAAGAGAATTGAAATTATCTGCAAGGAATGGTGACGATGAGTCAGTGCCTTGTGAAGAAGCGAAAGTCTTTCCCTCACCACAAGCAATGAGAACTGGAAAAAGTGTCTGAGTCTTCAATTGCTTGACCAATTCATACAGAGATGCAGTTGAAAATGCTTCATGATTTGCACCCTTTTCCGCTATGTCTAATACTGTTTCGGGGTTTGGTAGGACAGATCTGTAAGCAAACGAGAATAATATCAAGGAGCGATCAACCCTCACCGCAGACTTGTTGTTCTGGTTGTTTGTTCCATTTGGTTCTTTAAATAAAGTTGACGCTTGAATAATCGTAGAGTTCTCTGATAACTAGGAATCCATACATTCATCATGGGATACCTTACGGAGTTCGACTCATCCAAGACTTCTGTTAGGGACTCGTTAGTTGATCCATTTTTGCGCTTCCTCATTTCAGTCTGAACTTCATCGAAGACAGCTTTGTTTAGCAATGGTTCAAATACACGGTGCATAAATTTTCTAGCATTCCCATCAAGCGAGCAATTCCCGTAGCAATTCATATTAACAGGAATTTGGGAAATCAGGTGTCCGTTTGCTTGGATAAGCTTCTCCAAATATTGACGCGCAAACGTGGCCTACAAAACAATTATTTGCACGACCCTCATTGATGCCCCAATACCTGTACAAATATTCCCGCTGGCGATCTGTGTATATCGGCGCATTTTGTAAGATATTGCTCTGGGTGATTGATTTGGAGAACGATCCAATGATGTTGATGAGCCCACCAAGCCACATGATTCAAAAGAACACTCTGAACATAAAACAGAGAGATGTAAGAGTTTTAATGTTTGAAATACTTTTCCGGTTCCGCGGTCTCCATCCAGTAAGAAACCCCTGCTTGATATTTTGTACTCGCCTGATTAAAATACAGATTAGAATTCGAATAGAGAATGAACCAACCAGTTGAAGAATCCTTTTCCTTGCTGAAGAATTCAAGTTGACGTATGATCTGGAGGGTTTGGGGGCGAATCATCATCCCAAAATTCTTCTCCTCGAAACCAAAAAGCGCAAGATCTCTTCGTAATCCCTGTCCCACACCTTCGGGACATTTTCGAAAGTAGTACCCGCTCTTTATGTCTTCATATTTCGCTAAGTCACCCGTTTGAAACTTTTGGCGCTTGGCATACAGATCAGAATATTTTCCCTTACCCTGAACAAGGGAACCTCAAACATATTTGCACTCTTCGCTTACGAGTTTCTCGGCGTGTGTGTCTATGGGAATAAACTTTGGCGGTGGTGGCGTCATATGTTGAGCAGCAAGTTTTTCATCTGCATCCATCGCGGCTTGATGTCCCACGATCTTTTTAAGTGGCTCAATTTCCATCGAATCATATGCCGGATTGGTCAAGGATGGCGATTTGTAAAGCCGAGGAACTCCGAACGAGCGGACCGTTATTAATTTATTGAGAAGAGTCCCATTCAAGCATCGCTCGAGGCGCAAAGGAGAGCCCAGCAGCATCTTCCCCATCTGATGCTGTGGAACGTTATTTTATAATGCAGGAGGACAACGAAAAGCAATTTTTCAATGTTTGAAATTAAAAAAGTGTTCGCCGTTGGTCGTTGGAAATGGAAATCTATGGCAGAAAGTTGCAGTATTTGCACTGAAAAACTTGAATTCTCATGCCCTCAGTGAGAAGAAGCAATCATCGAACAATCTGAACAATAGTGTTTGTTAGATGTCGGACACCTGGAGATGGTTGTCCTCCAGCACATGGGGAGTGCCGTCATTCATTTCATCTTCGTAAGAAAAAGTCATAGTTGTGTCTTCATCCGGCAATTGCAGATTGTATACAAAAATGGCTCGCTCAACGCCAACACCAACAATACGGGGGGGCTTACAATACGAGCTGCCCCATGTGCCGCCAACCTTTCACAATGACGTGACATCAAGTGAGCGTTATCTACAGAATGAATTGCCTTAAATACGGGAACCGTTTCGACGTTCGAATAAATGAAGGGGGTTTTGAATTCTTCAACTTCCTAATTAACATTTCGTTTCTCTCGGACTGTTCTTTGTCTTCATCCACCTCTCTGTTATGGAAACCCAAATCTTTCACCTTCCCTTTTATGAGAACCCACCTCGCTGTTGTTCCCTGTTCAATTTCATACCGTTCTTCTGGAGAACGACATTCAATTGGGAACTCGTCGTCTTCTGGCGGCGCTCTTGTCGTCAACATCTCTTCTTCTTCCGTGACCTCCCCTGACAAACGATGGGGAAGTAAAGATCTTTACCCGAAGTTGAGAATACAAACCTCCCTGCTCAACCCATGTTTGAGGCAGCGGATTTTTAGCTTCGGTCAAATTCACTTGCGGCGGAGGAGGAGGAGCAGTGGAATTGGTTTCCATATTCTGGAAGACGTCGAGCATTTTTTTTGCCTTTGCTTCGTAGCTTGCTAAATCAACTGCTGTCGTATTTGACGCACATAACGTTGTGCATTCGACCTTGTCCTTCTCCGCAATGCAGCAAACATCGCAACCTTTTGCTGGCGCCGTTGAACATTTGCATTCCAGACTTTCTGGAGAGTCGCATGCTACAGCATGATACTCATCCAGCTTCTGTATGCGAGGACCTATTGAATTGGCGAAACTTAAAATGACCAAGCAACTGGCCAAAAAAAGGCTACTGATCACGCAGGATATAGACATCAAGAGAAAGGTTATGGCCTCTCATTTCTATTTCCGGCTGCCCATTTGAGATTTTGAAACTAAGAAATTTGTGGAATTCCGTGATTAATAAAATGAGAAAGTAAATTGGATGCTGCTGGAAATTCGACGCATAAGAAAGACTGAACGAGGAATGGGACAGGGAGAGAGAAAACTATTTAATCGGAACTGGTAGTTGCACAAAGCGACACAAAATTTCACGACATGAACTAATCGGTGCTCAACCCAAGCTTTCTGCGAATTTCTATCAGCTCCTCCTGCGCCTTTTGAGCATCCAGCTTCTTTTGTGCTTTCACTGGATTATAGTACAGAACCAACAAGATATCTGAAGAACCAAAACAGGTAATACAGCTCTCGAACACGAAACGCACCTCCCAGCGACATTGAATCCAGACAAATGATCAACTGCATTCTTCGCATCATAAATATCATCATAGACGACGAACGCCGTCCCTTTAGTTTCTGCAGCACACCCTCTGAAACCGAATCAATTTAACGGAGGTGTTCAAGTCTCAACTCACCTCCTTATCTGACGTATTGCTCCATATTTGCCAAAAATATCATACAACTCCTCGGCTGAAATCTTGTAGGGAAGATTTCTGAAATTTGAGAGTCATAGACAATTACGACAATCGTGGAATCTACCTGACGTAAATTATGCGTGACACTTCGGGTGGAAGTCTACTGGGGCGTTTCGACATTTCGAATCTCGATCTGTGAAGATTGGAATCGCTGGCTGGAAATTCTGCGAAGAATAACAAGTACCTCCAGGATGTTAAAATTCCTTGGCAGATGATAAACTGCCGGGACACTGTTCACAAAACAATTCTGCAACCGTTTTCTAAGAGGTTGAACAGATTCACACAGATGGTTCGCAGACCACAACAGGCCCACGACAAGGAATGAGCATTTCAGCTGAGGATTATGTTCGTCAAGCGTTGACGAGTAGTGAATGGAAGGACCACGTTAAGGCATTTTGTCAAGGTGGGTTATTTTAATTCTGTCAAAATTCAGAATATTCGGTTTTAGACTACATTAGAAGCTGCTCCTACCCTCCAACAGCAGAAGAGGTGATTGGTGCCGTACGAGCGAAGTCACGTGCAGCCGTTCCTGTGGGAGTCAAATCCGAACTGATGTTAAGGATGCAAGCAGAAATAGCGGAAGCAAACAAGAAGGACGCAGGGGGAGAATAATCGTGAGATTCGCTGTTCTATTTGGATGAATTTCTCTCTAACAATAATCCCTATTCACATTTATGAATCTCCGGTGCTGACTCGAGTATTTCCTTATTTTGAGATTGAATTTGTCTAATAACTTTGGGACAGTACCGGAAAGCGGAAAATTCATATAAATTCTTTTTTCTTAAACGAAGCGTGTTCCTTGATATGAAGTCCAAATGTTTTCTAATTCTTAAAAGTTTTTTCCTTCTTGTCGCCCATCTGGCGGTCGAAACGGTTGGTGATTGCAATGGAAACCTTCCAATTGAGTTAGCTCTCTCACTTCAAGCCGACAGTCAATCATACGGAAATTTGATCCGAGCACTTCAGAAAGAGCAGTTTTTTCAAAGTTTGGCATCCGATTTGCAAAAATCTTTTCCCAGCATTAAAATTGGGCTAGCGACGTTCATCAACTGGAAAGAACGAACGCATGATGAGCAGAATTACTGTTTTCAATTGAATTCGGGATTAACGCAAGATGTGAACGCTCTCCAAACAGCAATGAATTCAGTGACGATCGCAGGAAGCCGACTCGACGAAATGTACAAAAACAGCCTCATGTCCGTGGCATTGTCGGGTGAGCTGACTAATGACAGAAGCCTTACAATGGTTCCAAAACAGTCCGAGACAGCTAAATACGATAAAACAGAGTGATATCTTTGTATTTTCAGTGACGAGTGGGAAAATGGGATGGTCGACTGAACATGGAAAAGTCCGCATCGTTGCTCTTCTGACGGATCAATCATCGCTTACAAGTGGAAGCATGCCGCTTCCTCCCATGAGAGGAACCCAAAGTGATTCCTGTGGCAATGACGCTCCTGACGGTGAGTATCTCGCGTTGGACACGTTCAGTATCTGCTTAACTCATGCATTCAGGCAAACTTGTCGGAGGGATTCTCCGTGCGCATGAATTTTTTTTCCTCGGTTTAATTGGTGGCGGTTCGAAAGAGCTTGCAGTTTGGAAATCTTATGCTGAATGGATGGAGGCCGACAAATCTGTTTTGATTCAATTGGCTGATGCAAGCGCGGAGCAGTTATCGACGCAATTGAAGAAAGGACTTGAGCAGATACTTTGTTTACCACCATACACAACAACAACAACGACAGTCAGCACTACTACAAGCACAGCAGCGACGACGACGACATTCACATGGACTCGTACAACTGCCACCACTTCCACCACTGCAGCTCCAGGGAGCGGGATCAATGCTGTAGTGCTACTCGGTGCGGGAATTGCAGCTGTGGTGTTGTTATCTGTAGCATGTGGAGGTGGATATCTCTATTACAGTCGGCGTCATACTGCTGATAATGTGCGACAAGGAATGGAGTACGGAGAGCTTTAATCATTCTAGATCAGAAAAGCTGTTCTGCTCATCATGAAATATTTTTTAAACCAATATTCGAATGAAAACAGATTAATAGCTCATCTTTACCAGATGCCTATTCAAACGTGAAAAATCCTTTCTTGTTCTGAGCTTCTTTTCCAATAATAAGCAACAATCCCTATGAGTGCTACGCCCAAGACAGAACCAAGAGCAGACATCAGAATAACGTCCGTCTCCACACCTCTAGATGGCGCAATTGTTGTTGTTGCTGAAGTTGTCGTGGGTGCTGTAGTTGTCGTTGTGCTAGAAACAGTTGTTGTGGTCGTCGTAGTCGTAGTGGAAGTTGTCGTTGTTGTTGTTGTAGTTGTCTGCAGATTTTGAAATCACTTCTAAATTGTATTTCGTTTCTTACAGTTGGTGGTGGACATATAATCAGCTTGACTCCTCCAAGTATTGCGTTTTCAAGTTCACGCGTGATGAGAGGAAAATCAACGGCAACTCCTGATGCTCCTTGCGTTGCCATATAACTCAAATAGGCCTTCCAATACTCGTTCTTCGACGTGATGGCTAGTAAGTGAATCTCATTTTGTTCCAATATTCGACCAACCGACTCAGCGTCTGGACTGTCATTATCGCAAGTATTATCCCCCGAGTTCGTAAATGGATGTCCTGGATGTTCGCCAGTAGTCATACTCTCACACATAGTCAACACAGTGATGATTTTCAACAGCTTTTTTCCATCAGAATTCATAGAAGACCATCCCTGACAACAAGAGACGAATATGCAACAACTGTTCTGATGCGCACCATCCCCTTCTGAAGTGCCGACATTGCAATCGCCATAAATCCAGTTCTCCGTCGTGCACGGGCACCTACACCCCACTTCCATTGGGCAGGGACTTTCGCTGCGTAGGTTGGAAGATCCGGCGTTAATGGTGTTAGGTAATTATAGCAAAAATCCTGCGAGTAGGGTATCAGTTGATGCTATTGCACGTGACTTGCCAGATCATTTTTTTCCAAAGTCTCCCAATAGGAGAACGATGTGGCACCCAATTTCAGCGATTTGTACTGATGACCTAGCGCATTCACAAAAGAAGTAAAGTTCTTCAAAAGCACACTCATCCATGGGAATATGATGACACTAGATTCAAATGCAAGGACCATTTCTATTGCGTAGTCGTCCTTATTGAAGAAACACTCATCGGGCATTGCGAGACTCGACAGAACGAAAAGAAGAAAAAAATAAACTTTGATAAGAGAATGATCCATCTTCTGTAACTTCGTTGAAGTAGAGTGAAAAATCTTTTTTTAGGCTCCTTCCAGATTGGGACGCAATCAGTCTCAAATGCAGAGATCAAACTATGCGCAGCTCCGATATACTCTGGGATTTTCTGTTCCAAGATCAAAGAATTCGACAACAACGTGACGGACAGGCTGCCACAAACATGTGAATCTATCAGAATTGTCTTTGAATCCATTTTAAGACAGAATCGGAAACCCGTTTCTCTCAACTTGTGCAGGCAAGTAGCTTAGCAATCATACAAACAAAAAGCGGGACAAAAATCGAGCAATTTGAAAAAACAAATAAGCACCAGAAAGAGAAAGCGCTCGCTATTTGGGACTCTTCCCGAGTCGTACTGTTTAGTTCTACTGAGTGGGTGTTTGGGACTCGTCACCACCCCAAGTAGGCGGAAACCATTTGGGGTAGACACGTTTATAAAGGTACATGCAGACCTGCGGAGAATGATGATATTACGGCGTTTGTTCTATTTGTACCCACCGTGTCTGATTGGTCAACGTAATCATTGAAAATGCACTTCATGTAGCCATGAGTCCCAAGGGGCTCTTTAATGTGCCCTCGGAGACCTTTCTTAGTCGCCAATTCAACAGGAGAGAACCAGCGAATGTCACTTGGATTAAAGAACATGAACCGAACCACTGCCTTCTTCTTATGAACTGAAATGGTAAGACAGTTAATACAACCCTGCCACAAATTTTACCTCTAAACGGGTATCCAGTTAATACGATGCGCTTGATAATAACACGCCTCGCATCTGGCTCTAGAACGCTTCCCCATGCTGCAAGCTTTGTCGCTTTCTCGAGTTCTTCGGAAGAAGGGTAATCAAGGATGGAAGATTGGCTTAACGCTTCTGCAAAAGAAAGGTGCAAAACCAGCAATCAGCTCATCGTTCTGACCTTCAGATGGAAGCTCGGGCGACTTGAAAACCAAAACAGGCGCAGGAGGGAAAATGGTTGGGGCGTAGACGGATGCAACAGCAGGGGAACCTTGATGTAAGAATCGATGAAATCTGGATTTCATGCTGATTCGAGTTCCTGCAGTGTTTGTTCCTGTGCTAAAAATCGGGCGGGCGAGATATCTGAAAAGAAATACCCATGATGGAAGATTGGGACACGGTGGGAGATTGGGACACGGTGGTAGATTGGGACAGACGGTGGACTGTGGTTTACCTTCTGAATCCACACTGCATTTCAACCAATGTCTTGGATTGTAGAGGCTCGATGAAGTCATTAACGCGAGTGATTCTCATATGAGAGACGGAAGTCTTTCTTTCAAAGGGTAATAATGTACTGATGAGCAATGGGGCAATGGGTAGAAGTCCTTGATGTCCTTGGTTGAACAATTGAATTCTCTCCAAGCGTTTCTGTATTGCATCAACCTTTGATGCCTCTGTAGGATCATTATTCGAAAGACGAATTTCAAGACGAATATAGAGTCCAGTGATAGTCATTCCACCACAAACTCCCATACAATCTTCGATAAATTGATGTTTAGAAAAATTCATCGTTGGCTGAAGAATAAGAAGAATCAGTGAAGTTATGCCGATGATGGATATAGAGATATTGAAAGATATCTCACCCTGAATGAGTCGAATTCGTAAATTCGAGAATATTCGGCGGGAAGATCCTCGTAGGGATCCCACTTCGAGGTTTTGAAGGATTTTAATCCTCTATATCTTGTAAAACGTTCTCTTGCTGGTTGGTCCAATGGAGTGTCGACTTCATCCGGGAATTCTAAATCTTCCCTGCTTCTTTCCTCAAGTTCAAACTTCAAACGATTTCTATCAACGAACATCTTATAATTCAGGCTCACATAAGACAACTTACTTTTCTGCTATCATTTCACCCTCCGTATGTTGCGGCATGTCGTCCATCATAATGTCATTCGTTACTGTTGGTTCACCTATAGATTCATCATCCTCTTCAAAATCAACCTCTTCGTGTTCCTCATCCGCATTATTCCCCATCGTGTCATCGTCTATTTCTTCCTGGACATCCTCTGCGCCATCAAACTGAACTTCTTCATCGAGCCACGCTTGCTGGTACGCTGAGGTTCCTTTCGGAACGGCGAGACGTCTGTTCCGGCTGCCACTCTCTTCCTGACGAAAGAAGAACCAGGTACAAACACAAACCAGCAATAATCAGGCCATCAAACAAACATGGCATTGAAATTACTTCAGAGATGTTCACTTCACGTTTCTGTCCGTCCTCCGCTTCCTTCAGTTCTTCTTCAGTTGGCCACGTTTGCTCCCCCGCTAAGGGATCATACGGTCGTAAACACTCCCATTCCTCTTGAAGCTGTTTTTCCATATCAACTGTAAGCTTTTCCAATAAACGTTCAGATCCGACGGAATTCTGCATGTCGTCTCTCTGTTAACAAACAACCCATGAGTTGATCAACTGAGAGTCACCAAAATGGGATTGTAAGAGAAAGTCCCAAAACGGAAGTTGTCATTACTCATAGACCCACTTATCGACTGTCCACTTACAACTTTTCTTTGGGCTTTCAATGGATTCTCTAAAGCAATAATTCTATCTGCAATAACATCCCCGATGCCAGTCAAATGAAGAGGATGCCTGATTGAAATACGACATACAAAAGTGTTCAACTCAACACCTACTTCACAGTGAATCCCAACCCTCTGGCAAATCCTTCAACTATCAGTTTTATCCTCCCATCTGGCTGATTCCTCAGAAGCATGCATCGATCCGGAACAAGATACCCACGCATCGCTCTCCATGAAAACTCTTTTGGGACAGCGTTGGACAGCGCGCGCAACAATGACTTCAAATCGTTTGCAGGATCATCAATTGCGATGAATTTTTGTCCAGCACCGAATTCAGACGTAAAGTATCGATTAACAAGTTTGCGACGTTCTTTTTGTTTGCCTGATGATCGACAATAGATATTTATCGACGATAGATATTTATATTTATCAACCATCATCGATAAATGACATTCTACGCAATAGATTTTTAACTCACCAACATCCAGAGCGTTGTAACCTTCATCTCGAATCATCACGCCTATCGGAGTTGGAAATCCTTGTAATTTTAATGCAGACAATAATTCATAACCAAGATCATCGAAGGGGGGATCATCAAGGGAACAAGTCCCCGGTAAGACACACACAATGATATTCGCCGTCTTAGCGATGTCCAAAACTGTTTGAAGTCCCTCTTTTGACACAAATTCCGTCTGTGGGACGTCATCGTCATTCTTCTTCGGATTCACGATACTCGGAAGTGGTGATGGACGTGGATACAGATGTGCTGATGCATCAATCAGAGTCAAGCATTGTTTTCGTCCCTCTCCTGTTGAAGTCGTTTGGGCCCATGGAGGCAGTTGGAATGTCACAGGTTGGCAAATCTTTGACTGCACGGCGCTTGTTTCCGAGTCCTCCATCACGTCTCCTCCATCTAGCTTTTGATTTCCATTTCCCACAAGAACAGATTCTCCCAAACTCGCCAACGCGTTCTTCAAGTCCGTCACGTCGACCCCCGATTTGAGTGGAAGGAGCATCGCAATCTTCGGAGGAATCGCTTCCGAACTCATCGCACCGATTCGACGCTTCGCTCGCGTTTCTTCGCGACGCTTCTTCCGTAAGTCTTTCGCTGCATTTGCCCTCTCCTGTTTTCCCCGCGCTACGACAGCAGGTGCTGATTTGACACGAGGGCGAGCGACAGTCTTCCCGCCAGGTTCCTTCCTCTTTGTCGTTCCTTTGAAGGGCTTATTTGATTGCCGAAGGTGCGACTTATGTGATTGCGTCATCCCTTAAAAAACAAAATTTGGGAGCATGAACCTGATACCTCAAAAGGAACGCGACAGGTTACATTCAAGAGGTGCGTCACTTTTCAACGAAAGCATGGAGTCACAAAAAGTGGCAATTCTACTGTTGCATAAATTTTTCTAAGAATTGTTTGTACTTCGGGTCAGCGTTAGCAATCGCTTGAATTGTTGGGTGTTCGACCCCAAGACTTTGAATGCCGCTTCGCAAGACGTTCTTCGCTCCATCTTTTGTGTTTTTTGTGAGCGATCCATTCACCAGTTCTCCAACAATCGCCTTCAATAGTTCTGCTTGGTGCCTCTCCAAAATTGATTTTTCACATCCTCCAAAGCAAAGATACAAGATAGTCTGCAATATATTAGCAAATAATGCAAAATTCAAATTCAGTTGCACTCCGCACCTTCAGAACTCCTTCCGACTCTTGGAAATCAGCTTTGAGTGGCAACGATTGGAGGAACAACGGAATGACCTCGTCATGTGGAATATCACTGCTCGTTGAACCGCGAAGAATTCTACCCAAAGCAGCAATTGCGTTGTCACGAATGCACAACTTGGATTCACGAACATTCTGAAAAGAAAAACACGAATTTAATGCATCACGATGAATCAATCACCTCATTGCTTGCAACAATCAGTGGATGTAACGCCTTCAAAATTTCGAGCATTCGAGTTCGAACAGCAGGTAATGCGGATGCGATTTCGCAAATAGTTCCCAGGCAAAATGCAGAATTACGTAGCAATGACGAATCCCCACTTTGTCTAATCCCCTCTAATGCCGGCTGGATGACCGGCTCCACAAACGGGGTCGCCGATACCCCCATCGTCTTGAAGATATCTCCATAACACCCGATGCCTGAAGCGTCAATTGATGAGTTTAGGGTACAGGATAGTTCTTCTCTGATTCATAAGACATGCACGTACCGATACATCGACAGCCACTTGACTTCTTGTGCGCCGCAAGTCGCAAAATTTTTGGATGCAACTGAGAGAATGATAATTGAAATTGTTGTCCCATTGTTTGCGCTAATCCGCTAATCAATGAGGACACTCCCTCAAAAAGATATTCTTCTACAGCTCGACTGTCTTCGTCCTAAAATGAGCGTCAAATTGATCATAAAATATAAAGAGCGTCTGTTGCCCCTGATTTGGGAATCATCTTACTTCATCAACTTCTCCGTCATCTCCTAGTTTTTGACATTCATGTTCACCAGAGAAGATCTTCAATGCTACGTCTATCAATGAGGTGTGGACATCTCTTCCCGTGAGTCCTGATCCTTGTAGCAAATGTGGACCTAGAAGCTCGAGAAGCTCTCCGACGACGCTACATACGTCCCCAACGACTTCCTTGTCGTCGTCCTGATAAGAAGGCGAAAAATTGTCAACTAGTGGCACAAAGTGGTGATCTCACGTCTGTCAACATTTCCTCAAAAATAGGCCACAACTTCTCAATCCATAGTTGAATGGTGTGATCATGAAGGAGCGACTGAGCTGGTAGTCCTGCAATCCAACCTCTATTTTCTGCTGTCGTTAAAACAAGACAACTCTCGGGTGCTGTTGGATTCGACATATTCGTGGGTGAATCTGCTTCTACGCGGGGGGCCCAGGAAGGTAAGAACGTATGATGTACATTGATGAGCATGGCCTGCATCAAATTTGGGACAAGCTGCCGAATCCCACTATGGAAATAACGATGTAAGCGTTCAACACGCTCTAAAGAACTTTTCAAATATTGGGACATATGAGCTCCAGAGACATTTCGATAGAGACAACATAACAAATCGATAGCAGCTTCCTGCTCATCGATGTAACCTACGAACAACATCATACACCTTGGATGTTAAGCCCGCTATCCTCCTACACTCACCAGTACGAATGTGGATCCCTTTTATTCGACGTTCGTCTTCCTCATCTTCTTCGCAATCAACTCCATCAAGAACATCTTCATTGTCTTCAAATTGTGTTACAATTCCACTTGTACTCTTGAGTGTTGCGACAACGAATGGCATCACGCTCGCGATTAACGGAGCGAAATCATCTTTCAGTGTGTGACACAAACATCCGAGAAATCTGTAACTTGCTTCGCGTAAATCATCATGATCCAGAGAATTCAATCCTTCCAAAGTTAATTCCAAACACTTCTGTCGATAAGGGGCGGTCACTCCTTCCGGTAGCTCTTGAATGATACAGCCAGCTGTTCCCGTAGCGCGTGCACGTAACGGGATCAATGTCTCCTCTTTCTGCTTCATTGCTTCTATCAGGATCAAGAACACTTGTTCAACATAAGGAGCGAATTTTCCTTTAGCAGCTTGTGCAGCAGACCCAATCGCTCCAATACAATTTTCACGAGCTGCATTTGCCTTCGTTGTCGTCAATACGTGAAGCAATGCAGGCATCAGCGTTGAGAGATACGATTCAATTTCGAACTCTTCAAGATGCTCGGAGAAGATTTCAACAGCTAAAAAATGGATGAAATCAATGCGCGAAAACAGAACGCCATTTCTCACCGTAACAAAGCTTTTCCCGAACGTTTTCGTCGGAACCTCGTTGAGGGATCAAGCATCGCGGAAAGTAACACCTTCATCGTCATTGGATGCGTTTGAGTGATTTCAGGTTGGAGATACTCTGCCATTTGTCCCAAACAGACAGCTGCAGCGGTTTTGGCAATTGGACTTTGATCTGAAAATGCGCTCAAAACGGGAGGAAGAAGTTCTTCTATTCGTCCTCTCATTATATCTTCACAACCTTCAGACATAATTCCAAGCAAAATGAGAGCTCCACGCTTCTCGTAAGGATTGGAGCTGTTCATGTAAGGAGAAAGGCATCGAGCGACGGGCTCAAATACGAAACGTGAAGGGAGATTAAGCGCCGAGCGAGTCGACGCACTGAGAAGCAACACGATGCGGCGTTAGTTCAGCTTCATCAAGATCGTCTGAATCTGGTTGAATCGCCATTGGGACAACAACATTTAAGACATCAGGAACCAAGTTGTGTTTCGTTAACACTTTTGGTTTCAATTTTGAAATCGAATGAATGAAATTAAAGGCTTGCTCTCTGACTCCAACTGATAGCTCCGAGTTTCCTCCAATTGTCAGCATGAACCTGATCATATCGGGCAAAATCTTCTGTTCCTCAAGGCGTCAGGGGACTCAGCAAGCTCATCAAAGATTTCCAACGCAAACACAACAACGTCCTCTTTGTTCGCGTTACAAGCCTCGCGAGTGACGGCAACCATCGCAGGCATCAGCTGACGTAGACGGGCGTAGTCTGTCTTCGATTCTGCTGAATGGGCCAGAGCTGCGACACCTCGCATTGCTGCAAGGCGCACCGCAGAACTGACGGGATCTTGCAGCCCTAAACAAGAAAAAGGCTTCAGAACAGAAATAGAAGCGCCGACTCACCCTTAAGAAACACGGTAGCGAAATCGTTCGATAAGGGACGCGAGAGAGGCAGCATTGGAATCAAGAATCGAGCTGAAGACAACTTGGGCCACTTCTCGATGTGACTCCTCTGGACTTTCAGAACATTTGCGCAAAAATTCGAAAAGTTCTGCGCGCATTCCATGAGAATCAATTTGCACAAAGAGCTGACAAGATGCGCAATGGAAACACGAACGAGGTGAGAAGGATCTTCAACAAGGCGCTTCAATAATGTCTGTTTAATCTCGCTACGGGCATCTTCTGGAAGTACACCCCAAAACTTTGCAATACGACGTCGAAGAAGAACCGCAGCCAACTGTCTCACGCCCATTTCAGAATTTTGGGCCATTTGAAGGACGAGGGGTCCAACACATTGTGGGTCCTTTGTAAGCTCCTTCACTTTCTCGCTGGCTTGGGGCGCGGTGGAAGGCTCCGTGACTTGCTGGAGAAGCAGACCAATATCCGGCTGATCGCTCATTTTGCTGAGAAGTGAAAAAGAGGAAAAAAAGAAATGAACAGTAGGCCCGTTCAAACCAGACCTTTGATCAGTTCTGGAATGGCTGCGCCATGTGCCGTCGAGCGGTGCTGGGACAAATTTGAAGTCGCAGCACGCAAGATTTTCTCAAATTGGTTAGCGCGTGATGGTTGAGTGAATTATCCTGGTCCTGTTCGTCCTCAGGACGCTGCTTCAGCTAGCTATCCATAATGGCTGGGGGAGGTAGAAATTCAAGAGCCAAAGCAGACGCTCTCTTCAATGATGTGATGGAGACGTTTCGTGTGGCGGCGACTAGAAGTGAGAAGGTTGTTTGGGGAACCTCATTTCTTTATTGTTGTTGCTTCAGATCGTTCGGTTTCTGTTGATGAGCTTTCAGATTTTCTTAATGATCAAATACTGGAGCGATTCAATGCAGAAGCTGAAGACGAATCAGATGAAGAGGTTGCTGAACTTCTCGTTGAACTGTTCTTGTCTTGCGGCCGAGGGGATTTTTCAACAGCAGATGAGGTACGGAGTGTTGCGACAGAACAGGCTCATGGTTGCCCTGATTTCAGGTGGCTGCAACATCTGGAGTGGATCCTGCAACTTGCAAAGGACACGCTGTAGGAAGTGATATTGATTCTTCGAGTGAAGAGGAGGAGACGGATGTGAAAGACGCCGCAATGAAGGATCATGCTGCACCAGATGAAGACGGTTGGTACACTGTATCCCGAAAGAAAAGATGATGAAGAACTTCAACCTGCTGGTGTCCTTCCAAAGTGACTCATGCAATCGACCGATGGGGGAAGACTCGTGCCTCTAATGTCTTTTTTTATAGTCTTCTTTGTACCGAGAGTCGTCGAATCAGATTTTGTTTAAGATTTCAACTGCATGTCAATTTGTCCCAGAACTATGTATTGATAACTGCTACTATACACTAATTTTTTTGAATTTTGCAAATGAAATATTTCTCACACTTCGAGGTGGTCTACGGCGCGAGGCCCCAAACGCCATTCAATGCATCTTTAACAATCGTTATACCAAACACTGCGACGGAAACCATCAACGAAAGCTTCGGTGGTGAAAAAGTTTATCTCGTTCCCATTTTTATGGATATCTTAGGAGCATCGGAAGACATCTTTGTGAACGTAACCGACCACCCTATACCAACCCATTCGGACTTGGCAAAGGGAGCTGGAGGGAAGTATCGGTATGTTTGGGGTATGAAGAATGGTCTCAAGCACTTCAAACCAATCACTGATGTCGCTCTCATCAAATCGGAGATGGATCTTGCAATACGATGGAACGGATGGTGGCTGTCTGATGACATCAATAAGGGACGCCAAGCCCACTACTACAAAAAAGAATACCTTTTTATTGGATTCAAGAATTAGAAATTTTGCGAGCCGAGTTCTTTTTTAGTGTTTTTCTCACAACGAAAAAGTTGTGCAGTAGCTACTTGAGTATGACTTCGAACGTGCAATCAACGGATGGGAGGGCTGGGCAGTGTGTATGATTTGGTGTGTGTACGATTTGGTGCTGGAACATGCAGTGTTGATGAGTCTGTCTGGAAACACTGTCTCAAAGAGCTTCCCTGCGGATACTAGTGAATTTCCTTGGAATCGCTGAATGGGGAGTGAAGGAGAGACAGGGTACTTCGGCGTCAAAACAGTCACAGCCGAAATTCATGTAGACACAGAAACAATGTATGGATGAAAAAGAGGGACGGGAATGATCAACAACGAACTGGTGAAAAGATCAATTTAACTGACCCTTGACTGTTTCTGGGACTCAACACACCCTAAGAGAGGACGATTCTTATCCGTTCCGTCTTAACCATGGATCTGAAAAACAGCGGAGTCAATTTCGCTCGTTTTGTGTGACTCGAATCGAATTTCTGAATCTGGAAGCTCATCAGGTCTGCGGTGGTACCAACGTTGAGTTGTAATTCATGCCTTCATCCAACTTGTTGAAGCACGATAGCACTTCGAGCTGAAAACCAAACAGGGTCAAGAAAACGGCAGGGGCCATGGATGGTCGTGGAAGCTTCTGGCACTCCTATCTTGGCAATCCAGCTACTTTGGCAGATGGCTGTGTTACCTTCTTCTCGCTTGTTTCATCGGGTGTCGAAAATGTCGAGCATATATTAGATGCGGATGATCTTTTCCGCTTCAAATTTCCTAATTATCAAACACGTTCCATGCAGGATATCGCAAGGGAGGAAGCGTTTCGGTTTTTTGCGACTTCTGCGCGAATCAAGCGCCTTCTCACTCTAGCGCTCGTCTTTCCGCCCAAGCATTCTTCGAGGAAGCGCCAATTCAAATATCCTTTTCTTGCAACAGAAGTTTTATGCGCTGGTTATTCTGTCTGGTCAGAGTGCGTTACTTTCTGAACATGATTCGGAAGAGCATTTTTTTTTATTTTCAGAAGAGTTGAGATTACTCCTGATTTGCTGGATGTCGTCTGGAGCTTCTTGGATCATTACACTTTAGATGCTTCTTCTTCTCTTCCAAAGCGTCGCTATCGATGCTCGAGTCTTCCCCCTGAAATAACACCCTCGTTAGATGGAGCTCCTGTCAAACGAAGATTTTTACCTCCTCCTTGTTTTATGCATTTCTCACGAAGTTCTTCAGCCCCTGATCTTTCTGTTTATCCTACCAAATGCGCATATGAAAATCCAGTCCTTTGCGGTTATTTCTCCAAAATTGTTTCAACCATTTATACCAATGCTGGTGATAAGGTACGGCATTCCAAACATTAGCACGCTCAACTTTGCCCTCTTCAGTTGGCTGCATATCTGAAGGCCCGGCCGCATTTATTGCTGAAATTATTGAGACTGATAGACTCACCATCTATCGTTGCGCTTGTTAAGACGTTTTTGCTCGCTAAGTCTCCTGAAGAGGTAAAATCTTCATCTTCATCGTTTTCCGTACTTTTGGATTGTTTCAGGCGATTTTTGCTCCTGATCGAATCATCTACATCCTCTTGTCCCAAATTTCGTTGGCTGGACCGTTGCGCTTGTACAGTGATGAGGAGCAGAAAAGCGAACAATTTGCTGATCATATGAACAAATTAGAAGAAGAAATAGGCGAGGTATTCTTTCAATCTTCTTGATTGATCGTGTTTGTGTTTAAAAAATACCAGCAAATTCTTTTTTCAGCGTCAAGAGAATTCATCGGCTCTCTTAAGAGAGCTCATGCGTGAGTTGATACTCGAAAGATCTAATTTGGTTTTCATCTAATTTGGTCTTCTTTCGCGTTTCAGAGACTGACTGCCTCTTCCATCCAGTTTATCTTGCAACATTAACATCCCAGCCTGTCTGTGCATTCCTCATGAATTGTTTATCCTCCAGCGTAAGTCACGTCTGTTTGGTCATGGTTGACGTTTATCATCTTTTAGAGTGTCTGCGTGGTGTCAGCTGCTGTTGATATTCTGTCGGGACTCGCTTACATAGCAACAGCATACCACTGCGTCCCTCGCCAAGAACCCGCAATGACAGGTGAGAATCCAAGAACAATGACAAACGCCAAAAATAAATTACTTGTTCTAAATCGAATTATGATTCCTGTGCGACGAATTCACTTGATCGACTGTTTTTAGGTCCGCCTGCCGTTTCAGACAATGTATTCGAACGTGGATTCGAATTTGAGACAGCTGACAAAGACAAGGAGACACAGCCCTCCAGTGAATCAACCAACTGCAGAGAGGAAACCGCGGGCGTACCTCAAGCTTCCACGGATGGAGACAATTCAGTGGCTAACGATGTTTTGCCAATTGTGACTATTTTGGGACAAACCGATTCAGTTATGCAGTCTGAGGAGTTGATCCCACCACTCCGGAATTCTGAGGAGGTGCCAGCTCCAATCAAGGAGGGTTTAGAACAGGCAGCTTCAATCGCTGAATCAGGTTTGGGACAGAAAGTCCCAATCATGGATTCAGAAGCATTGGTAGTCCCAATGGCGAGTTCAGTGAAAGAGACGATTTCAGTTCATTCCGATTTAGTCGGTTTGCGAGTCCCAAATGTTGATTCCAGTGAACAGAGTGATCGAATCGCGAGTCC